TTATGTTTTCTCCATTGTGGTTTGCTGGATTCCCAAACCTTTACAAATGATATTAACAGCTTTTTTACTCATGTGTCTAAATTTCTTTTAATCAGCATATCATTTTTTGCTTTTTGAGATCTATTTCTATTTGATTATGCTTTTGATAACATAATTGATGTTTAACATGAACATATGCTTTTAAATTCTTCCTTTTCACATTTAAATAATTCAGCCTTGGTCTATATAAAGTGGAACTGCAAAGCTTTGCTTTCAGATTCATGTTATTGTAGCTGCACAGGCCTCTCTTTTACTCTTGTTCTGAGGTGCATCTGAGAGCAACTTGTTTTGATTTGGTCATTTTAAATGAAACTAAGACATATCATGCAAAATAGCAGATTTTGCATGATATGTTACTTTTAATATCTCTATTATAATCTAGAAATGAACAAAGTGGGGAAAAATATTTCTTTTAAAAATAAGAAATTATCACGATCAGTGCCACTTGCAATTTATTTACACTTCCAGTACTGCTTACTATTGGCATCCATAAGAAGGTGAATATATATACATGTATACATCCCTGGAAAAACTTAATATTCTATTTAAAATGATCAGTTTCTCTGATTTTACTTTGTATAGAAGTATGTTTGAGCAAAATTAACATTGTTCTTTTATTCTATGAACTACTGACAACATGTCTCTGAAATTCCAAGCAAAAATTTTGAATTTATTTGCAGATGAGGAGAAATGGTCAATGCATTCCTTTCAGACCTAAAATAATGCAAATAAAACACGTTTATATTCATTTAGAAACAACAATGTTAATGTTTGAACTCAGGAAGAGTTCAGAGATCAATATTTAGTGGAATAACCAGGAGGCTTTCAATGGGGTTCAGTGCAGTGGGCTCTTAATTATTTACACAGACAGATATAATATTTCTATGGCAGTCTTTTAGCACAAAAGTGTGGAACAGGAGAGACATTTATCGCTCCAACAATCAATTGTGTTTAGACTTTGTTGCGTCTTCAGAATGATGATTTTATTTGTTACATTTCTTTAATGCAGTCGCTCCAAATATTCTGTTAGCAGTACAAATGTCTCCGACTGTATCCCGACCTCACCGCTGTTATTTATTGCTGTCTGAATTCTCCAAAGACTCCCTTCTGTGCAGATGTGTAAGGTATAGTGGTGCTATCTTTGTCTCATCCTCTTGTCCTCTTCACTTACTCCGCCTCTCCCCCTGCTCTTTCACTCCACCCCCTGCAAGCTGCCTCCCCTGGCAGTCTTCACCTGCTTGTGCAGCCTTTACTAACTAGCTGTGCACTCCCACTTGTAGAGAAATGCTGATGAGACAGCAATATCTCGGCAGAGACAATGCAGGGCAGAAAGTGGAGGAAAGTGAAAGAGCTGCGGGAAAAAAAATGTAAGAAATAGAGCCATCGGTCTCTTTAAGGCTCTTTTACCATGTATGTTCATTCCAGGGAAGAATTATGTCTCTTTCTGGACCTTCCTGTCCTTTTCTTGGCGCTTTATTGTCATTGTCATTCAGTGCATTTTTCTCCTCACCGTTCCCTTCTTTTCTCTTCATCCTATCTTAACTTGTTAAGTCTAGCTCACCCCTCCCTCTCTCCACTTTTCTTCTCCTGTCTGCTCTTCATTTCTTTCTACCCGGGAACCTTTTTGTCTTGTGCCACTAAGTGGTAGGCTTATATAACGGAAAACACCTGAGGGGGGACTCCTCTCTTCCTCTCACCCACACACTCTACATCATTTCTCTCCATCCTTAGCTCTTGCTTTCTTCTCTCGTATGGCTCGCCTCCTGTTTCTCAGTCTACTCGTTTCACTCTGGTGTTTATTATGCTTCAGACAAATGTCTCTTCTGCAGGTGAGGTTTGGTCAATGAGTTAAAGCAAGTTTGGGTCGGCTTTAGTTGCATCACAATTTTGAAAAATTTTGAAATTCGAATAAGTTTCTTCTTATTCGAATTCCAAAGACAGTGAAAACTTCTATGTAGTTTTAATGAGCACAGAGTATCGATGCCCCTCCCCCACATGTTGCTGCAAGCTGTCAGTCAGCTGTGTAAGTTGAAAACATGGTGGACAATGTTATTACACTTTTTTCCCTTGAGATGAATTTTCAACATAAGGACACTTTCTGCACAAATATACCAGAAAGCTTTTGGCTTTGCAGCCTTTATGTTCTGTTTATTAGTTGGTCTGTTCCCTCTAGAGTTAATTATAAGGTTCAATAAAAGATAACTCTGTAAATCTAAAATATTTAGTTGTATTTTTATGTTCTGAACTGTAGATATGTGTCCCAGAAATGATGCAAATAAATACTTTTAAAAATCTTTGAGGAAAATACGTCTTACATGCCAAAGTGTATTCGTATCCTACATGTGATAACATTTCCAATAAGTTATTTTTAAAAGTTGGACTAAAATTTACTAAACCTCAGTTTGCCCCTTTGTCATTTTTATATTATGGTATCTATCTGTCTCTATACAGCTGATAAAAATGACTCATAGTATTGTCATAATGACAGTGATGGGTGGCGTTAACAGTGGTGTCCTCTAGTCCTCATAGTTTGTCTTAGCTGTTCAGTTAATTATACATTTGAATCTATTGGTTCTCAGATACTTTACATTTTTTTGTGAATTGGTTTTACATAATTTCATGCTGAAACATAACATGCTGAAATGTCTGCATACATTCTTTTATGGAGCTCTGTGGGAGGGAAAACTATCCTCTCTTCAAAGTTCTTTTTAATTAGTTGTGAGACTGATTGATTTATAAAGATAATATAAGCTAATGTGGTTTTAACCTCATTAAAATGTGCAAATTAGCCACTTTGGTAGTCTCTCCTGTACAACTAGCATTTTTCTGGTGTCTTTACTTGCAAATCTCAAGGTGGACTGCCTTTTAGTACTTAACTGGCACTAATAGGTCTCACAGAAATAAGCATTTCTATCTTTCAGAAGTAGTCAGCCATAAACCCTTCTCAGGTAGTTTCAACGTTAGTCGAACACACTACCATCCTCAAGGATAATAATTCTCCCTTACTTTTTACACAACACTTGACTCGCTCTAACTTTTTATACACGTCTCATCGCTCATCCCCATCTCCTCCACCATATTCCCCCCAGCCCAGTCTCACTAAATATAGTCCCGGCAAAGCGTGGCTGCGTCGTCTCTTCCTGCATCGCTGCGAGACAAAAGTCTGTCATCTCACGTCTGCAGCAACAGGGACAGAAAGTACAGATAAGATTGATGGTCGAGAAACAGAAAAGGAGCCATTAAGAAGTAGATAAACATTTGCCTCAGCATGTGGGTAAATGACTAAAAGGATAAAAATCTAGAAACAAAAGGTGCAGTTGTAGCATGCTCGATAGTGAGACATGAAGAGAGAAAAGGAGAGGTTTATGCCATTCCTGCCATTGTTTTTTTTTAAATTCAACAATCAAAACTGTGGAGGCCTAAACGTGTAATGAGTCTGACACCGTTGTAAGAATGATGGATAGTTATGACTGTGTAAGTGCTGCAATAGGAACAGAACAGATGATGCATAAGGAGGAGAAGACAACCAAGAGATAAATATTGTTGCAGAGGGAAGCATGGACACGTTGGACCTCATGTTCAGCACAATATCGCCCCCTCATGGTAGAAAGGAGTCATTACAGTTAGTTAGAGCAGGTTACACATCACTGCAGCCGAGGACAATTCCCATCTCATCAGCTCACCTGCAGGAGTCTTTGTAATGATTTCTACTTTATCTAATTACAGACTGTGTAATATACATAATAGGTGTACTCAGTTTTACACACAGTGTAGGTAACAGCAGTCACATCACCCTCGCAGCTGTTTAGTGAGGGGCTTAAAGTCAGCTGAGAGGGTCATGTCACCATCACATCTGCTTGACCAGAGAGAGGCTGCGCCTGCCTGCGAACAGAAGCTCATCCGTTCGTAACGGCTCCCTGAGGAGCGAGCTCCATGATGGGTACAACGTGCAGACTGGTTTCCCTGCATCCAGAACATACGTCGCCCCTGACAGGATCTCCTTCTACCTCAATGACACAAACGTTCCCAGGGCAGATGTTAACACTCAGGAGGGCAGATTATCATTCCCGGCATGATCCTCGGCCCTCGCCAGGATGCATTAAGTGAGGAAACGTGTTTTCACACGTGGAGGGTCCAAACTGCAGTCGTGCACCATGTTATTGGCCTCTCCTGTTTACGGATGCTGATGTGAAGACAGTATTCCTGCTTTACTGCTATATACATTTGAAAAAGGGATATTTTTAAAAAATCTTTTTGTGTAATCATTGTATCTATTTACTAGTTTTTTTTTTCCTAAAAGTGGAATCATTAAGTTGGGATGTTTTAACACTTGATTGGGGACCAAAAATGCAAACTTGTTGCATTTTCAGCCACTGTCGTTTGCTTTCACACTGCACTGTAACTGTGTGTCCATTGATGATAAAATTGTGCAAATTAGAATTACAAGAATAAATTTGCTTGACGGAAACACACCAATTCTGAAAAATAAAAATCAGGTTTTCTAATAGAAAGCTGATGCTTTGGATGAGCAACTGCAATGGAAACACTTTTTGCATCACATGAGTTATGAGATCAGCAACCAGATGTTATTACCAAAAGATGAAAAAGATAATGAAAAATGGTAGGAGCATGATTGGCCTGTATGTTTTAAATCACTTATCATGAGATAAGATTCATAATCTTAATTAATGGAAAGACCACAGTTGTGAAATTGCATCAGTGGAATATCAATAAAAGTTTTGCACACATTTGTCCTGGAAATGGAGCTAGTGTGATGAAATTATCATTCACCCTCCTCGCAGCACCATCAGTGCTGCAAAACCTTTGTCGATTCCACATTCACGCCTCCTCAAACGAACTGGAGTTTGATTAAAGCAGACTAAACAGCCAAACATTCTGAAATGCATAATAAATTTTTATTAGCTGCAGCTTCTCATCCTGATCTGTGTTTTAATTTTCAGGCTTCGGAGAGAGGGATACACCGTGCAAGTCAGCGTCAACGACTACCTGGACATCTACTGCCCGCACTACAATACCAGCCAGCGTGGGACTCTGGAGCGCGTGGTGGCTGAGCAGTACATCCTCTACATGGTGAACTACCGGGGCTACTACACCTGCAACCCTCAGATGGGTGTCAAACGCTGGGAGTGCAACCGGCCCCACGCACCGCATACGCCCATCAAGTTCTCTGAGAAGTTCCAGCGGTACAGCGCCTTCTCGCTGGGCTACGAGTTCACCGTGGGCCAGGAGTACTACTACATCTGTGAGTCACCAGCTCATTGTGATAGATGGAAAAGGCCGGAGGGTGCTGCACATCCAATATTGTGATCCGAGGCCGTAATTTAGAGCGTCTCTTCGCCCACGTGTATTGATGCTGTGTGGGTTTTGATAATAGTTTGTCAAAGTTTAGCTGAGGACAAAGAGTTTTCTGGTGCTGCAGTTTGTATCGTTTGTGTACTGAAACTTGCACAAATGATCACACCTCTTGAACTTTTTCAGATTTCGTCTCTTTAAAACCATAACTGTAATTTATGTCAGTGGGAATTTATGTTGAGTATAACTTGCCACCACTTGCGTGTGAGTGTGTGCATGAATGGGTGAATGACTATACAATGTCTACATTTCCTTTAGAAGTTGTAGTCAGTAAATAGAGTGCAGTTGTGTGTAATTTAATATCAGTATAATTACAGTTGCTTTTGTAAGGCCTTCGGGATTTGATAAAGAACATTAGTGGGGGAAAAAACTGTATCGTGAAAACAAAAAAAACTTTCCAGACATCCCGAGGATAAAGTTGTGGAGAAGTTGATTGCGGGATTACATTCTGAAAGAAAAGAAAAGCTCTGAAGGGCAATATTCAGTGAATCATTTGAAGATGAAGAGTAAGGCACAACTTCAAATCTAGCAAGGCATGACCGTCCAGCTAAGTTGAAAGGTGGAACAAGGATTTACCAGGGAACCCGTCAATATGATGGCGGTAACTCTGCATAAGAATGATGACAAGGCAGTAAGAATGATGTGGCCTGCAGAGGGCACAATGTTGACATTTTATGTTTGCTTGTTCTCTGTTTTAGCCACACCCATCCACCACCACGGCCACAGCTGCCTGAGACTGAGGGTCTTCGTCTGCTGCTCCACTGGTGAGACGACTCTGCTTCCACTCGCCGGTCTGCTCATGTCTGTTTTTCGTCCCACAAACAGAGAAACAAAGAGACAGAAAGCTGCAGACGGAGAAAGAAATAAAGATCTAAGAGTTGTGTGTCAGGAAGAGAGAGAGAGGGAGGCTCCTCTGCCTCAAGCTGCCTTGACAAGTTTTTGATGATGCAGTTTTGATGGCAGCCTGATGTTACTCTCCGTCTCTGCGCTATTACAGTAATGCTCCATCTCGTTCTGTGACTGACATGTTCTCAAGAAGATCTACAAAAGATGTAGAGAGAAGAAAAAAATACATTCAACTGTGAGATTCTGATCTCTCTGCCCTCCCCTCCATCTGTCACTCCCCTTCCTCAGCTTTCTTCTTGACCACCCCCTTCAGCTATCTCGCCGTCTCTCTTTCTTTCTCTCTGATCCCTGCTGCTCTGTATAGTGTGTGTGTTATTTTTACCCTGGTAGTCTGCGCTCTCCCCTGCAGGCCTTTGATCAGGCAGCGTGGTACAGAAAGCCTTCCCTCCCCCTCTCTTCTAACCTTGTCAGCACTAATACATCCCACTCTGAGGCCAGTGTCATTCCCCATGTACAGATCACCTTAACACACCCCAGTGTCGCTGCCAATCTGTTGATGCACCTCCATTTGCATCTGTGTTGTTGTGCTAAAGCGTTTGAGGGCGTTTCATGTCTGTCTGCACATTTCTGCCATCAATTTGTCTGATGTGTGCACATGCGTTGAAGGGTTCATGACATCCTGTCATTTTTACAGCTCGTGCTCAGAAGTGTTATTGACTTCAGCTGCCCTTCGTTCTCTTTCGTTGCCTGCTTTAACCCTGACAGAACAAGGCTTCAAGATGAGACAGAGGGGAGAATAATGATGACTTAGCTAATGCAAAGCACTGCTTCTGTCTGTGCATCATCAACAGGAAACAAGTCACAGGCTCGGCTCATTTTTCTGACACCAAAAATCATTGATGTTGTTTAGCAAATGGCATAACAAGACAACAATAATTATAAATTATGTTTAGGTTTGATTTTGACAGCTAAAAAATATAAAATCTAATTGACATATTTTTTTCAGAGTTGATGCGGTGTCTTGTAGAGTCCTAAATGTATGCAGCTTTTCTACATTTCATCTTAAATAGAGTTAGTTAGGTCTTAAATTTGTGTGTTTGCTAAATTACTGCTTCATTCATCTTTTTCTCAGCTTCTGAAACTGGGTTTTGAGTGTTCAAGAAAAGAAACTCAAATGTTCTGGGTACATAAGTCACACTCAGCTCTTTTGTTGTGGCATAGTTAATGTTTAACAATGTTGATATGTTGACTAAACCTCATCAGCAGCAGCAAATTACGAGGCTTAACAACTAAGCAGAAAATGGTCTTAAAACACTACCGATGTTTTAAAACATAATCGTAATTTGACAAAGCTTTATTTACTTTGTTTATAATGTTTAGCAGGTGAAATATTATTCAGTATTTATTAAGGGATTAAAGTTATAATTAATTCATTGAAAGGACGTCCAGTGTTTGGAGAGTTTGTTGTAGGTTTGCTGCTGTGTTTTTTGAACATTGTGTTTTTATGACTTCAGCTGCTGGACAGATGTCCTCACATTTGACTGTCATATTCAAAAGAGTTCACAACGTTTTCTTTTTAGAGAAAAGAGCCTTTCTTCAACTACACTAAACTATCAACACCCACTAAAGGGGGTATTGTGTATTTTCCAGGCATATGATGTACGTTTATCCCACAATCAAGTAACTATGTGACCTCCAGAAAATGCTGTACATATCAAAAACATCTTGAAATAAATCTGACACCTTGAAATTGGGCTCTGTCTCTTTAAGGACCTCCTATTCCTTCTGACACTGAGTTACAATGTTTCTCCATGCCGCCACTGATGCTGTTTACTACTGGAGCTTTGAAGTAAATTACTTACATGAACCATCCACCAGTGTTTACTGATTGCTGCTGCCGCTAGTCTGGAGGAGCTCAGTGGGGAAGGTCTTCACCTTCAGGGATTTTCTTAGCTGAGAATCAGCTCTGCATACATTTAAGCTTGGTTAGGTCTGAGCCAAGTTGCGGTAACCTGCAAAGATTCCAGCTGAAGTATTCTTACATTTCCATCATTTTTGTGCTTTAAAGGCTTTCCATCATTTCCAGTCACCACTGCTTCTTCTCAGTTTGCCTTAGTGTACCCCACTGCCTTGGTCACAACTTTATTATCACAAACGTCCTTCCTTTATTTTTAGTTTCTAGTCAGAATTATAGACATTGCTGTGCAAAGCAGTATTTTTGTCCCGTTGTACGCCAGTATACTTGTACTGCTGCTCACTCTTAATCCATTCATGCCTACATTAGTAAACCCAGATGTCACCCATCCAAAAAGCAAACTGGATTTAATTCCAAGTCTAGACAAACAGTCAAAGTAATGATTTTTGTCCTGCAATGCCTAAATAAATTCTTTAAATCCTCCAGGCGCTGTCTGGATTTACTGTCCACAATTTCTTAACTGTTTCTCCAATCCACTTTAACTCCACCAAGCTGACCGATTAATGTACGCAGATTGATCATGCTGCAAATCTCACTTTTCTCCTTCTCTTTCTGTGTGTGTGTGTGTGTGTGTGTGTCTCTCCCATAATTGTTTTCTCCTCTGTTTTTCTTTTCCCTTTTCTCTCCATCTGTCTGTCTCTGTTGCGTTCCTCAGCCTCTCAGGCAGATGACGACTCCAGTCAAACTTCTCCCGACTACACAGTCAGGCCGAACATCAAAATACACAACATTGGTAAGTGACTAGTCGACATAAAAACAAGAAAAAATCCATACTGGCAGGTCGATACCCATCTCAATTTGTGAATTGAGCTCTTGTTTATTTTCCTACTTGTGATTTACTGAACACAATCCATGAAAACAGAGCTTAGATCTGGACTGCAACTCCTTACTCATCTTCCATCAAGCCTCTAAAATAATTGGAATTAGATTCCTGCAGGTATTTAAAATACTTCAAGAGGCTCCTATTATTTAATGGTGGCTCTTTAAAATACGCTTTAATTCAAATAAAGATGGAAGAACATATTTCTGAATTTGATTTTTGGGCTATTTAAGCCTTTTGATTTGCACACATTTTAATTAGAGGCTTTTGATATGGAAGATTGGCTCTCCTCTCAGGGCGCCATTCTGCCAGGGGGCACCTGAGCACTAACTGAGTTTTACGTTGCTCGTGTCCAGTCAGTCGGGTATGTGGAGCTCATTTAAGACTGGAGACACAGCAGTGAAGACGTCTACAGACAAACCAACAGAAATGAAAGATTTTTACATCAAATGAAGGAAATTATTAGCATCTTCTTTATGAAACTGCCATGTCTTCAGTCAGAGGCTTCTTTGTATCACAGACTGCTGCAGGAGAGCCTTCAGGCCCACAGTCATCATCCACAATAACTCTTTAATTAAATAAGCTACAACAACATTTAATTTCCCTTTGGGATCAATAATGTGTTTTTGAATTGAATTTTGAATTACTGAATGTAATAAATCAGAATGCCAAGTTAAGTTCACCCTAAACTAAAATATTCTACCAGACTATGTTTAGCCATCTTTTTTGCACTATATATAGATTTAGTGACCAAGTTCAGGTATAGTGGTGCAGAAAAATTAGAGGGTCATATAGGATCTTTCAGTAGCAAGATTAATGTCATAGTTTGTTTTTCATTAGCTGTGAGTGTTGTTACATGTCTAATTGTATTTGTTAATTTCTGAAAGGTGAAAACTTTGGCTTTAGAAACTTAGACAAAGTTTTAGCATTCATTATTTGGGGTAAATAGCCATTTATTGAATCAAGGTCACATAGCAGCATACAGTAAGGCTGGAGTTATGACAGCAATCATTTATATTGGTAACGTTAACATAATAATTACAATAAATGATGAGGGTGGACTGAGCCAAACCTCTGAAACCAGAATTAGCCTCATAGCTTGACCTTATTACATTGTTCATTTATCATTGTCATCGTGAGATTAATTATTTCCTCCATCAGCTGCGTTAATCCAGTCAGAATGCGACACAAAATTTTATGACCTCACATCATCTTACATGAGAATGAGCCTAATGAGCAGCACAGTGAGGCATACAGAACAATTACTTAGGGACTCTATGGAAGAAAATCTTTGCACGGTGATGCAAATGCCTCCAAAAAGCTATTAAAATAAGTCAGGATAATTTCATTGTTTGAATCCTACAGCTCCAAAAGCATTAAGATCAACTGAGGTTATTCCTGAAAACTGTTTCAGCTGCTTTTTCTTCCTGCATACAAAAATCCGCAAAGAAAATTGAGGTCTTACAAGTAAACTAAAGGTTTGTGTTTACCTTCGGAGAGCAAATGTCAGAGTCAGTTGTTCAGCCGAACGGTTACGTAAACCCTGTATTTTCCTTTGTCTTTTCCCATCACCACCTCAAACAAAAGCCTTTTGCTGGGAATCATTTACTACGCTTTTTTCTGGTCACTGTGGCAGTCTGTGACAAGGTCTGAGAGAATGTGACCCGCCTGAGATGGAAACCATGACCAACAGAGACCAACTGAAAAAAAAAAATAATAGAAAGAAAAAATCGAGCTGAGAGAATATGAGGATTCGCAGTTAAAGGGAGAAGAGGAAGTCAGTGAGATAAAAGACGACAGAGAAAAATGCAGCAGTAAAGTAAAACGGACAGACGAGGAACAAAAAATAAAACTGATAAGGGAGGTGAAGAAAAAGAGTGTAGAGGGAAGGAACGTAGTGAAAGAGAAATTCAGTGGTGGACGACTTGCTCAGTGGTAACTCCGGCTCCAGCTTGCGTAGAATTTGACACACACACACACACACACACACACACCCACACACACACACACACACACACACACACACACACACACACACACACACACACACACACACACACACACACACACACACACACACACGCACTCTCTGGCAGGAAATTATAAAATATGACAGCCTCCAGTGCTGTGATGCATTCTGTTGAATACATTTGGAGGAGGATACACATTGATGCACATGCACAGACTCTCACTCACAGGAACGCGCTTTACAACACAGCCCCCAGAGGCTCCACTGACCGCTGGACTCCCACTCTCTGATTCAGCCTCAGGTCCAGACCAGCCCACAGACTGGCTCAGCGTCAACGTTTCTCCATCGCATATGTTTGCCCTTCTGCCATCTTTTTTTTTTCTTAAATTATTACATAACCTTCTGCGTCACATTTTTCTTATTTAACTCGATGTTTCAAGGACAACACTGCTCTGTTACCAGGGTACGGTTTCTGCGTTTTGCTTGTATGATGATGATTCAAGACTTATTTTTAGCAAATTATGCTAAACTATTTTGATGAGTTTCAAACATCACTCCAAATGGAGAAGACTCAGGATGTAGTGGAGTATGTGGTGGTTACATTTTAACACTGGTATCATGATTTAGTAGATTTAATAGATTAAAAAGTTTTAGTTAGCTTAGCTTGCAGGTTTCTACATGCAGGAAATTATGTTAGGGATAACAAATCAAACCGGTTAAATGTATCCTCTGTAGAGAAATTTCACAGTCAGCCCAACTAACCTGGGCGGGAAAAGTAAGGGGAAACAATTAAATACTACTCAGACGGTCCGCTGTAAACATTCATCACACTTAATCAGTAATTTCTCCAGAAACTAGGGCCATTTGCAGTCTGCATGAGAGCAGCACTTACAAATCACTTTCAGGAACAAGGCCACTATTTGTTTGCAGTCTGTCATCTTGTCTAATTTGCTTGCTGTTGCCCTATTAAAAAATAATTTCCACATCTCTGCAATTAATGTTGCTTGGTCCAGTGCACAACGCAACCCGCAGAAATGATTGATGAACTATGAAATAATTGGATTTGCTATTTTACTCTCTGCAACTCAATTCTTTTGGCTTGTTTACGATGCTATTTATGAATAGCAGCAGTGTGTTATTGCTGACCATCTTAGAGACGAGAAAGCAGCAGTGATTCTTTATTGATGATTTAATTATCTACTTTTACATCAGACAAAGACACCCTGTGTGAAAAATGATTTCAATGTTTGATGTAGTTTATTAAGGGAAAACCAATTTAACCAAATGTGTTAAATTTTGAAAGGAAACATACAGCTCTGGAAAAACTGCATTTGAACCCCATTGAAAACCTCCTGGTTATTCCACCAAATATTGATTTCTGAACTCTTTCTGAGTTAAAACATTAATATTGTTGTTTCAAAATGAATACAAACTTGTTTTCTTTGAGGTCTTGTTTATTTGAGCTCTGGAAGCACTGCATCTTTTTTTTGTAATTTTGACCATTTCTCATTTTCTGCAAATAAATACAAAAATTTTGCTTGGAATTTCGGAGACATGTTGTCAGTAGTTCATAGAATAAAATAACAATGTTCATTTTACTCAAACATAAACCTATAAAAAATAAAATCAATGAAATTGATAATTTAAAGTAGTTCAGTTTTATTCCCCAAACTCAGGCCGTATTTATCACATTTAGTATCATTAAATCACCTAAATAGTAGGAGTATAACAACTGAAGTAGCTACTCGGGTTATGTTTGATATTAAATTATATTCGAGGATCATTTAAGTGTGACAAAACAAGCAAAAAAGAAGTAACACTTTCACAGATCATGTTCTTGCTTTCCTAAAGCACCTTGTCTCTTCATATAGCTGTTCATCTGCTACAAACTTTATACAAGCAACAAGTGGCTTGTGGTTTGATGAAAATTTGCAATTTAGCCCTGATAAAAAGTGTAAAAAAAGGATTGAATCCATCTTTATCTCTAAACTCGGTGAACCCTGCAAACAGAGCAGCTGTAGCAGTGGCTCTCCGCCTCTGGTGTCGAAACAGCCAAATAATAGACATGTGGTCTCTGAGCTGAATAAACCAAGTGTCTAAGTGTCACAGGTTGCAATAACAATAAAATAAATAGAGTGCGGTCTGAGCAATGCACTGACCAAGCATTCAGTCATTCTGAAAGCCTGTTTAAAATCAACAGCTTAATCAAAGTCATTCTGAAATGAGACAATAAGCTTTTGGCTGAACGTATTGAATGTGGGTGCTATTTTTTTAAAAAAATGAAAAAAATCCAGAATAAATAAAGTACAGTAGTTAACACTCAGGGATGATGTGTATTTTATTCCCATCCAGATTAGTTGAGCGTTTCTTCATGCTGTTTATGGCTCGCTGTAAATCCACCATTACTGCAGCGTCGTTGGCAGGAAGATTTATCCACCCAGACAACCTTTCCCACCTATCGACTGTCCAGAGTTGATGTTTCTCATCTCACTGGAAACGCCTCGGGGGTTTTTTCTGTGGACACAGGAGCCGTTCTGCCAGCCTCCCGTTGTGCTGCTGGGCCTCTTGGAGGCGAAAATGCAGCCGGAAATTGATTCCTGGATCCTAAATTTGGACCGTGGAGACAGGTGCCATACTGGAGACCTTTGATAAGTTGCAGCAGCCCTGAGGCGTCTAGCATCCCCCGCAGTTGTCTTCAGTTGCAAGATTTCTTGAAAAACGAGGGTTTTAGATGAGATGTTTACTCTGCAGTGCGTCCAAGTTACTGTAGCCTGTGAACAAGCCTCTAAGAGCTGGTTTGGATGTTTTGTACGAACATGCTGTAATAATTCATAACATATTTGGGTCATTATATTTTGAAATCAGATCCCATTCGGACTGCAAAGGACTTGAGTTTTTTGAACACAATGAGACTTGTTTTTAGTGGTGCCTTGTACTTTTAAGTCATGATGTTGGGACTTGTCTTTTACAATAACACAACATTTTATTAAATATTTTGCGCTTTGCAGCCACACAGTAACAACTATTTTGAATGAATCTTTGCCTTCTTTGGACTTGCAGACGAAGTTTTCTGTTGGACTGATTTGGCCAAATGTTTTTAGATTATTGTCTTGCAGAAATATTTAGTTTTCTGACAGAGGTAGTAATCAAATATCTAAACTGCCCATTATTCCAGATAAAGTACCTGATACCATGTCAGGGTTTCCAGGATCTTTGGAAAGAGGCTCACCGCACCAGACAGTAAATTTGACATGTTTTTCCTAATGCTTATCCTATTTATCACAAACCCCTCTGGTATATTTTCTGTTTAAGAGCTCAGACTTCATCTCATCTAAACAGAGTAGAGTTCAGAAAACCTTTCATGTTGCTAGCACAGAAAAGTATCTACATAGGATCAAATGGTTCCTTGGCAATCGGGAAACTCCAAGCTGCCACTTCTTGCTGCAGGTTTTGCAGAAAGCTCCCTTAACTTTGGCTCAATTTGCAAGACTAAAGCCTTTCTTGGTGATGTTGACTACTATCTTTCTGTTTTAAAGAATGGCTAAGAGAAGCTGGCTTCTGCATCATTTAATGAAACCCAGGAAACATGAACACAGTATTGAATAAACATTTAGACGCTGATTAACTCAAACAGTAAAGCATAAAGAAAGAGCAAAATCATCAGATATATTTATTTTGAAGATTACATTTTGACCAGAGGGCGTTGCATGTCAGGCTTCTTCATCTTCTGCAGGGACCAAATGTTCTTCTAGCTCCACAGATCTACGTCACGCCTCCGGTGCATCCCCGATATGACCTGTAGTCTTCACCCTAGGCTGTGTTGCTTTCGGTTCCATGTCCAGCTTTCACATAACGTCCTCTATTTGTTGATGTAACTTCCAAGTAAATGTCAGCTTTGGACGTAAAGACAGTTGTATGTTGTTCTTTAGGAACAAAAAAGAAGCCTACGTCAAACCCATTTATCTCAGTTTTCCAGGCAGTCTGGTTGTTGTTCTCCTTATCGCTCATTATATTGCATGTTTTTACTTGGAGACTGACAGACGCTGAAAAATTGTTTGTTTGATTGTTTGAGCTTTGATAACATCAATGTGGCGAAATGAATCATTTTGTTTTGGTTTAGATCAGCAGATGTCGGATTTTTTTTGTTATTTTGAGTTGATCCGATCAGCAGATTTATCCTTGCATTTTCCCAAGAATAAAAACTAGAACACTGGGTAAAATACAATGCTTTTTTTTTTTTTTTTACAATTTAAAACATTTTCTTACATCACAGAGTATTACATAAACATTGATTGAATAATCTTACCTCACGTACTGTAATGGTGATTTTTCATAACAGTTGGATTATATTAAAGGTGATAATGGGATTATAATGCAAGCTGTCTGTACAACTTGTTCTAATCTCTGAACACAGGATTTATCTTTGAGACAGGTCCGTCAATTTTATCACAGGTTGCATGTACAACATTTGATCTGACAGCGTTTGGAAGCTGTTCAACAATTTATGTTGTAATCTATGGTTACCTGGGTTACAATTTCTGAGAATAACAATTACACTGGTTTAGATTAGAGCGCAGATAGGAATGTGTTAAAGATAACCTTAATAATTCGAGTTGTGGTCTGCATAAGCAAACTTTGTTTCCTATAAATACTAGTTTGTAAGTAAACCCAACAAATTAAATCTGTTTTGACGCGCTCCATTAAAGCTGACATCATCAATCTATCTGTTTGATTTTTAAATTAAAACATACTTTCTTTCCTTTAACAGTGCTAAGGAAAAAATATATTGCCCTCTTTTTGCTATCGCTTGATTTTTCTTTCAGCTTCAAGCATTGATTATTCATTTAAAATCTATCCAAACCAACCTGGACCAATGTAAATAAGTAATTGCCCTCTGAACTTTACATTTGGTTACAGCAACTACCATCAAGTAATGTACAGCTCTGGAAATAATTAAGAGCCCACTGCACTGAACCCCATTGAAAACCTCCTGGTTATTCCACCAAATATTGATCTCTTAACTCTTCCTCAGTTACAACATTAATATTGTTGTTTCTAAATGAATATAAACTTGTTTTCTTTGCATTATTTGAGGTCTGAAAGTGCTGCATCTGTTTTGTTATTTTGACCATTTCTCATTTTCTGCAAATAGATGCTAAATATGTATTTGCTTGGTGTTTCAGAGACATGATGTCAGTCGTTCATAGAATAAAATAACAATGTTCATTTTACTCAAACATAAACCTATAAAAATTTAAATCAGAGAAACTGGTTATTTTGCAGCGGTCTCAATGTTTTGTATCTTATTTTGACCCACTCATTTTTGCTGAATTGTTTCAGTTCAGCTACATTGGATGATTTTCAATAAAAAGTTGTTTTTCAAGGTCACGCTGCAGCTTCTCAATCTGATTCAAGCATTGCAGATTATTTTTGATGTGAAATGCAACCTAATGTGAAACTGTTAAATGTGACAAAAATCAAAAACATAAGTAATCATCTTAAGTAATTTTATGTTCAATAAGTGGTTTGTTTTTGTACATTGTGTTGTGTTCAATAATTGAGCAACATTTATCTCAGGTTTATATAGCGACCTGTGATGGTTTATTCAGCTCTGTCTTGTTGTTTGCCTTGTATTGTAGAGATAATGGAAAGCATTAGTTAGGAAATGAACATGATGAGCCTGTAATCCACTTTTACTGAATATTCCTAAACACGTTCCCCGAGCTTTTTCTCCGTCTTTCCCCTCGAGCTAATGTTCTGTTGTGTCAAATCAATGCTAAGGCCATAGTAATTTGATTTGATTGAAATCCCTCGAGGACAAAAACATCATTAGCCTGAAAAAAGTATCACATAAAAAAGCACATCAAATACGACTTTGTTTTTTTTAATTTTCTCTCCCACAGGGAAAGACCATATGTAGCTGATGATAATTGGTAGTTTGTTGATAATCGCTTCATGCCTCTTTCTCCACGTATGTGAAAGCCCAATTTGCATGCATCGCTCTGCGATTTTAAATTGATTAATTTATAAAACAGCAATATTTTGTCCAGGTTTTTTTTTCCCCCTCTGGGTTTGCTTGTTTATTTTTTCTCTCTGCTTTTTGTTTTCCAGATGAATTTAACCCTGAAGTTCCCAAGCTGGAGAAGAGCGTGAGCGGCAGCAGCCCGTCACGTGACCGCCTTCTCCTCACCGTGGCAATGATGCTCGTGCTGGCCGTCCTGCTGTCCTAGCGACCGTCACAGGGAGCTTGCTGGACCGTCTTGTCCAAAGGGCTTTGTATCCCTACATTTTTTTTTTCTTTTTTTGAACATGTGATAGCTAAACGAAGCAAACAAAGAAAAGTCAAAGACAAAAAAAAAAAAAAAAAAAGAAGCGAGGCCTTTTTGCTGTCATATTTACACCTGTATCACATGAAAACTACAATATTTCATGCAGGTGTGGTGACCACATGGAGATTACTACCAATATTAAGAATCCAGTTTTTTCCTGTGCTGCTCTCAATGGATGCAGATGAGAGATTTTTTTGTAGCATGATAGAGAACAGAAAATTTGAAGCGTAACTCTCATCGGATGATGAAAGGAAGGTTTTTGTGTTGGCTTTGAAAAAGATGACAACTTTAGATTCTAGAGTGGATTTTTTTTAAGGCTTTGCTGCATCAAAACGAACTTTGATGTGGTTAAAAAAAAAAGGCAAGATGGACTTTGGAAACTGTAACAAGGCCTTCTTTATATGATTAGTGAGTAATCAAAACGACTGTCATTGTCCTGGACATTGTAGAATGTTTTCATACTGGTGTGTGGTAGCTGCTGGTGATAAAAGCCCAGCGAAAAGGGTGAGAATTTATAAGAATATCCAAGGGCCTTTCAGTAATCCATTTTCTCCAGACATCAAATATTCTCTGGCTTTGTGATAGGCACGGATTCAAAGCCGGCTTTTCTTCGAAGGGTACCGAGTGCCCCTCAGTATTAGTCTTTTGTCTGCATTTCCTGCCTTCCCACTGTAACAACCCAGAAAAATACAGACCCTGGACTAGTAATTTGACGGCACTTAGACGCACAAGATGTGGCATAGACGTGTGTTTTGTTCTGACAGATTTACCTCCAGCAATGGGCTTAGAAAAGTTCCAGATGTCAAATCTTAAAAAAAATAAAATAAAAATAAAAATACAAGAAAAAAATGGGGGTTGGGATTCGGGTCTCCTTGCAGCAATCAGCACCGTTGTTCAGAAACGCCTCTAATTTGCAATTGTTCAGAAACTGTCAGCAGCAACTTGCCCTCCTTTCACTCCCAGATTACCTGTTTTTTTTTGGGTTTTTCTTCCCCTCCACTTCAGGGGCTCGCAGCCAATCAGGGCTGATAGCCACTGCAGCAGTCCCAGTTACCACGGAGACGACCCCATACAGTCGCCAAAGTGCGGCAGGTGCCTGAGGAGAAATTATGCTTAGAATCTCAATCTGTAGTCATGGAGGAATAGACCCAGTATGAGCATCCGGATCATTCGCCGTATTGTGAGAGTCGCTTTTATGGAAACAACAAAGTTTTGCTGCAAAGTTTTTCAGGTAACGTTGTACGAAAAATGGTGCTAGCATCACAAAACTCTTAAAAGAAGAAATATTCTAACCTAAATTATATAAAGATGGTATTGTTATCTCCAGAATGATTCACATCCCTGACAGATTTAGTGCTAATAATTATTACCAACATGTTTCCTCTGACTGGAAGTAAAACTAACATATACAAGACCCTCCGGATTACAAGATGATCTGTCAATTTTTAAAATAAATGTAAAGGTTTTTAAGTGCGCCTTTTTATACAGTTGTTGGGCGAAGGGCGGCTGCTGCCATCTCCAGGAGGAATTGGGCGAGCGGCAGGGTACACCAGTCCATCACTATGGCATGACTGTAGTGCCATAATTAAGACTATTAGACACCCAGTGGTGATATATCCTTATTGCAGGAGGTTATCTCTATCCCAAAGCCAACTACTGATCTGATTCTAGGTAGAATCTGAGCGGCTAGTGCCAGTAGAGAAGGAGACTTATCACTTAAGTTAGCTTTGAAGAGGCTTGTGACTAGCATATCTACGATGGTCTCCTGTGTCTCATGCTTTTTCTCTTTAAAGAAAACGTTATCTAGAAAAATAGTTGGTCGCTTAGTTTCTGATGCTTGCCTATCAGAAATGGATGGATATGGATATGGTCACCTGTGATGAGGGAGTAACCACCACTGGGTGGGAAATGGTCTTAATGTTGGCACTAAAACTGCAAAACTTTGTCAGTATTTCACTAATGACAAAAAACAGAAAACACAATTTTGCGATTTTGATCTCTATCATAAACAAGAGAACATGCAAAATCCATGCAGAAAGACCAGGATTTGAACCCGGGACCTTTTTGCTTTAAGGCAACAGTTAAATCAGCTTTGCCACCATGCAGCCTGCGACTACTGCTCCTGCTGCAACTACAAACCAATGTTAAAATTGTTAACCTTCTTTCCTCCAATGGTATTTTGTCAAATGGGTTATGAGCTCCAAGTCTTTAAGTTTGGAAAACCTCCTTCCCATGAATTTTTCCTAGACAAACTCTCTATCAGATTCCACTTTATTAACATTATTTCTAATAAAAAAGAAAAAATGCAAAAATGATTTAATTCTAAGCTTTAGAGTTTCATTCAGAACTCAAACTTTTGTTGCTTTCCAAGGAGAACTCACAATATGGTGGATGTGGCAACAGATCGAGGCCAATGCAGCGTCGACTCTTTGGTGTCTGAAGCTCTTGATAAAAATAAAAAAAAAATCAAAAAATAAATAAAATGTGTGAATGTGAAACTTATGAGAAGTTCTTTTATACTGCGTAGGCAAACCTTAATCAAATTACAATGTTGTGCGTTTTTATTTATTTACTTTTAAAATGCTCTTATTTTGACATTAAAGTGTATTTATCTACATAATTTATTAATGTGCATTCTTAGGCCTTTGCTCAATAAGCTATCGTACCATTTTTTAGCATTTTTCTCAAAACTATTGGATTTGTACTGCAGTATTTTGCTTGTTTAGACAAATAGATGTAATTCAGCCGGTCAGAGACAGTTCTTGGTTAATTATTCAGTGCAAGCATTCACTCGGTTAGCTGAGTCTTGTGTAAAAAGATGCAGATGATAATATTGCTGAGGAGCATGTCATAAACCAACTGGGAATGCACAGACAGAACTGGTGTCGTTTGAGCCTGCACTGTAATGTAAATTTATAAATACATGCAGGGTTCCAGAATGTGTACGAGTGTTTTAGCGGGTGTGAGTGTGTTTTTTTTTTTTTTTTTTTTTTTTTTTTGTATGTGTGTATGTCTGGGTGCGTGGGAGCGAAAGAGAGGATGTATGTTGGTGGAACGTGTTTGTCCGCGCTTTTAAAGTACGTGGCATTTAGAAAATTTCGTACCTGTTAGCGGAGTCATTTGTAGGATCTGAATATGCAAGAGTGTATGAGGGAGAATGTGCTTTTCAGTCACGTTAGTTTATGTTTGTAGGGCGGGAGGGAGGGAAGCGGGTCGAGATGCCGGCAAAAAGCATTTACTTTCACTGAAGACAGCCACAAGATGTGTTTACGTTTGACAAGAATGAATAAACTGTAAATTAAACCAAGAATGATCAAAATGATGCCAATTAAAATCTTTTTGCAAACTTGTTTTAGAGGTTTTATTCTTCTGTTTGCATCAAACTATATTGTGCTGTTGAAGTTAGCAACAGTGTAGAATAAAATAGAATACAATAGAATAGACTGTAGGAAGATCATTTGGGTTGTAGCTATTTTTATGGATTTATTTACATTAATCACACTTCATACTTTTGATTTAGTGATGACAACTTACTTTTTTGTTCTCAATTAACTTAAAAGTTACAAATCTTTAACTTGAAGGAACCTTTGAAAAGGTCAAGGCTGCATTCGTATCGTTTGTCTGACCAACTCAGTATATTGTGATCTTCCAACTCAACTAAGTTTCTATAACTTAATGCAAGAGTGTTTAGCACGACAAATTTAAGTCACTCTTACTCAAATCATTTGTTTTCTTCATAATAAATAATTAAAATCTCTTTGACTTAATTCTACAGAAGGTCGACTCAAACCTTAAGTTTTTCCAAACATTCAATTACATTATGACTCACATTGTACTTAAAATACAGCTGGAATTTAAATTCTTTTAAATATGTTTTAACATGTTATTTTAATTTTACAAAGATCCTGTACACTGAAAAAAGAAAATAGTTGAACCAACTTAATTGAATTGCTTCAATTGGTAACAAATATTTCAATTAAGTTTATCCAACTGAATTCATCAAGTGTGATTAAAAAGTAAGTCAGTCCTCCTCGAATCATTTAGTTTACTTCAAATAAAGAAGGAAACTAAATGATTTACTTCAAATCTTTTTAAGATTTTAGATGGCCTTTATTTGAGAGTAGTGAGACAAGTGCAGCAAAGGTCATCAGGCCGGGAGTCAGGGAATAAGGTCTACGAATGCGGCACTGAACTTAATTGTTTCAAGTGAAGTCAAAGTAAAATGGGCGACTTTTTTGTTGATCCAAAACAAACAAGAAAGTTGTCATTAATATCCCTAAAGAATAAAGAGAGGTTAATGTGAATAATCCACAATATGAACTAAGCCCAAATACGCTTTTTAGAGTGCAGCTGAAATACAACTATTTAAAAACAAGAAGTTAGATTTTCCCATGGTTCTGATCTCAGATCTCTTTCTTTTTCTCATAAACTCTGTTTTTAGACACAAGGTAAAATCACTTATGTTGGGCACGAATGATCAGTTTTTTCTACTAGTCCGTCTTTAGAGGCTCTCACTTCAGTTTAACGAACAGCCTGCCATGAAACATAATCACAGCATGGAGTGGAGGCAGAAGCAGCGCTCCACATTTCTCCACTCTGAGAAAAAAAAAAAAAAAAACACCTGCAAGCCATTCATGTCTCTGCAGATTTGCCACTCCACATCGCTCTCCTTTCTCCCCCTCACCCGTGTCGGCTTCTTTCTGATCTTCTACACGCCACAGAAAGGAGGTGACAAAGTGAGGGACACGTCTCAGATGCACTAATGTCCATGTCAAAAAGGGACTAAGGAGGCCAGAGGAGATTTTTACTTTGATGTTGCACACAAGATCCAAAATCAGGAAGTGGAACAGATTCAGAGGAGTGTTTCAATTTTTGGGTTCCTAATATATATATATATATATATATATATATATATATATATATATATATATATATATATATATATATATATATATATATATATATATACATATATATATATATATATATATATAGTATGCCAGTTACAATAAGCTATATTACAACTTTCTATTCACTCTGATGTTTGTTCATCTTCTCTGACAGAGAAGATGATAATTATAGGTGAGTTCAGCTTACAGTCCCTGAACGTTTTAAAAAGTCTGGATTTGCGCGTAAATCGACATCATGAAACAGTATAAGTGTTTTAGCTGCTGTTCCTGTGCATGAGCTGACAGCATATTGTATGGTGAAGTCTGTGCATACTGTGGATACAATAATTTAGGAGAGCGTTTGCTTTATTTTTTGTTGGCTGCAAGGAGCTTATAGGGTCGTCATAAACAGCCTTAATTCCAGCCTGGAAAACCGTACAGTTAACTTTTGCCTGAACTAAATAAGAGCCCTGAAGACGAAAGCTATCATTTCGAAGAACATATCTAACAAATGGGTGTAGAGAGTGAGTTTAAAAAGCCATATTACAAATAATGTAAGTGAAACATAATCGCCTTTTATCACAAGTATTTACTCTGGAATCAGTGAAACGGAATCTGGAGAGGAATGTTTGAATCAGGGAGGCCGAGCAAAAGTTCTCTCCACACTTTTCAACTTTTTAACGAGTAAAAAATAATAAATAGCACATATTTTCTTTTCTGTCTATAACTATATATAATATCTGTGTTAATCTATCAGACATAATCCTAATAAAGTCCATTAAATCTTCAGAAAACGTAGCAAAAAATGCTCCAGGGTTGAAAGTGACGTTCCCAGGTACTGTGGTTATCTAACGAGTCTTCGGTCCAGACTTACAAAGGAAGACATTCCATTAGCATGAGAAGATGACCTCTCTCCTGTTTGAAGACACATTATCATTTTCTGAATCATTTATTGTGAGATAAGCCATCTGCGGCTCAGGCAGGTCCGCGCCGTTAAGGAGAAATTCCCTCGACAAGCTTCGCCGTCTGGCTCCAGCAGCAAAACAGATGCCTCCTCCTCAGAGAGCGCGTTATAACTCAGGACGTCACCGAGACAATCACTGAAAATAGCGTCACATTCAAGGACTGGTTGCAAGCTCTCGTTTCAAAGATAGGAGCTGTAAAACTGGATAGTAGCTCATTCAAGAAACAGATGTCACTGGCAAAAGACTGTTTTATTCCTACTCACTCACCCTCTGAATTTTGTCTTTTCTGCACTCGGTTAATGGAAGTAAACAAATGACTCAGTCCCCTATTTGAAGCCCTCCGGTACATCAGTCAAATATCCAATAAAAGGGCTAATCTGACTCCATTAACTGATAAGCAGAGTAAACTCAGGACATGTCCTGCATCAGCTGTCACCTTCAGGTCCAACATCAACATTTTAATGGTAATCAATTCCAGGAAATGGCACTTCAAATATCATATCTAACTTCCGTAAGTCATTGTTTGGTAATTTTGATTAAATCAACATGCTCCGTTGTCCACTTTTTGGTTCATGGATCATTTTAAAGCAATTCAAAGCAAAGTCAACACACAACTGATGAGAAATATACACTCAGCATTTTAATCAGTTAGATTTGTTCAACTATTCATAAACACAAATAGCAAATCAGCAAATTATAAAACCTCAACGTCATTCCTTTAGACCTCCAGTTGAAGTCAGAAAGGTGATTTAATCGACTTAGACAAACGCGACTTCTCCTTTTGGAAACGTGTTTGATCTGTGCAGATCTGCACCCAGTTAAACAAGCAGCTTAGCAGCTTTCCACCCATAGGTGTCAGCAAACCTTTCCTTCACTTCATCCAGATAGTCTACCACACCAAAGGCACCAGACTTTAAAATATGTCCCCATAGAAGAACATTATAAGACAAATGGTGATAAACTCGGGTTTATGTATGATGTAATCTTTGTTTTGATTAGAGTTTGTGTTTTTATTAAAGCAAATTTTCATTCGTTATGCTTTTAAAGTACAGTAGAAAGTACATACACTTGAGTCAATAACCTACAGAATCAGATAAGGTAGTAAATATTAACCAGACTTTAACTAGGCCACTGAAAATCCACCCAGAGAACTATGTGAATCACAGAATATGTTACATTATGCACCCTTAAAAGGATGAGCTTAGGCTTAGTTGATGCCTTTAAAAGCTTGATGTTAGCCTTATATCCAGTTTATTTTTAATTATTGATTTATAAAATGCTTTAAACTTCAATATGAAAGTAAAATCATAACACAAAAGACAGAAAGTTAAAAATGAATGTGTTAATCAACATTAATCGTCAGTCTCAGCTTTTTCATAACGTGGTGTCGTTTGATTCAAATGCTAAGTAGAGTCATTCTTGAATGTGAATTATCACCATGCCATGATTTACTAACTTTTGTTTTTCATCCTGTTAAAGTATTTTCAATTTACTTTTCATCCAGGCGAATTAGAGGAACCTATGGTATGTGCAATCAGTTCCCTGCAAGATTTAAAAACATAAATATGATGAGTTAGTCCTCTGACACTGTTAAATTTAAGTAGATTTTATTTAATGCTTAACATCCATTTCGGTACACAAAACCTTGTTGAACACACTCAGCTGTTCAGGGTGAGAAACACCGATGGCTATTTCCAGGTGGGATTTGTACAACCAAATGGTAAAGCATGTCCAAATAATATTCAGTTTTCTTCCTCCATACTTATCCAGCCCTTACTTTTTTTCACACATCAGTTGAAGAAAAACAGACATTGTCCTTCGTGAGTCTTTGAATGAAACTTTCAAAATTTGACTTATATGGCTTCAGTTCACTTGATAGGACTGATCTGTGTCTCCTGTTTTATGCAGCTGGAACCGCATCAAATCTCCTCAACGTTGTGGATTTGATCTGACATTCCTCCAGCTTCAGGTCAACCCGTGTCAACTTTCCTCCTCCGCATACGGAAACTAACCCTGGTAGATGTGAGGAAAGGTGATGAGATGTTTTGGGATTCAAAATGGCATCATTTAATACCCTTGGAAAAATGGTGTCAGCTGTGGAAACAAAGACACGGGCAGAATAAGGGAGGATGATGTGACGGTCCATCTTTGACGTCAGAAAGCTATCAGGGCAGTTTAACAGCTAGATGTGTCAGTGTTCACTTCAATATATTCAACAGTTGCTGATGTGACTCAAGCAGCTCTCAGGGTGAGACGTGTATGCAGGGTTTGGAGATCACTTTTTCCAGTGGATTTTTCTGAAGAAAATGTGAAATATCTTAAAGAAAGACCCATGTAGGCTGATTGAGATATCAGAAACGCT